CTCAGTATTGCTTTCGTTCGTTTACGTATTGCTTAGTATTATATTTAATTAATAGTACATATAAGATTTGAAATAGTTTTCTTTTTTACAAATGGGCTAGTAATATTATCGTTTTTTTTTTTTTTTTTTTTTTTTTTTTTTTTTAAAATTTGGTACATCTTTGAGAATAATCTAAAATGTCTACATTCCATGGGTATATTGATAAATGAGTTAAATTATAAGAAAAATGCATTTCTATATGAAAACTTGAAGGGATAAGGTAAAAAAATGGTATAATACAATTTGAGAACAATTAAATTGTGCATCTGATTCTCCTAAAATAACAGGGTGTTCGAACAAATTAAAGAAGTTATTGGCGTTTAAAAGCTAGAATTATTTTAAATAGAAATTTTTGAACACTCTGTATAAGGTAGTATTATTTTTATTATTGTAACAGAATAACTGATCCAATAAATAAACTACAGTAATATTTAAGTATTAAAAACTTTTGATACCCTTGGAGAAATGATGCCTTAAAATTTTTACTGCAATTTCACAAAATTGAAAATAAACTTTAAAAGCAGTAGGTTTAAGTATAATAAACCTTAAACAAATTTACCTTTATTTTAATCGGCAAAACTAAAAATGTTTTCCATTTAAAAAATACAACTTTGATATTTTTACTTATTTTTAAAAAAAAAAAAAAAATTCTGTTTAAAATTGATATATGCAATAATAATTAAACAAAAAAAAAATTTGTAAAAAATATAAATCGTTTGCTTCTATTACTCCGTGTCGTATGCTGGTGAACAACCCTGTATATCAAGCCCTGAAAATATGGGCATTGTTGTTTAAGACTCACCTATATAAATACAAAGGTAGGTTTTAATTAAATGAAAATATTTTCAAGTCAACTATTTGGTAGATCTCGTTAAAGAGAATATAATTTGTCTTTGCCTTTTTGCATAATCCAAAAATTGTTCATTAAAAGAAGCAAAATAATAATTTATTTTATTATAATTAAAAAAAAAATGGTACATTTTGAGAGTCACACTGGACGTTTTCTGGAACACTACAAAGATTCAAGGCATTATAAAATAATAGACAGGGTGAGGACTTCGATGCTCTCTATGGGCTGACTCGCTATCTAACTACTGGAGATAGAGAGTCGGTTAAATGGACAAATAATTGCAGTTCTGTAGAGTTAAATATATGCTCCTTTCATAAGTTGTCAGATAAAAAGTTGTAGATAGTCACATCTTTGACAAGACTGTGTTTCCGTTTTTTTCTAAACCTGTCATTTTGGACATATGACACAAATACCATCATTTTTTTAGTGAGGAACCATAGTTGGTCATGACTTCATCAGAAGCGTCACTTTCAAAGCTTTCCGGCGATATAATCTATAATATGTTTTTTCGAAAAATTACTGAGTTATTGCCAATTCTTATGATTTTGGCTACTTTTCGCTTAGTTCGCATAGTATTCTTTTCTATTATAATTTTAAAACTTTATAAAAAGACAGAATATTTTATTAAACGGTTTTTTTGCAATTTACATTAAACAAATTTAAACTTAAAAAATTAATATCACTACATACACTTTAAGTTATTTTACCAAATGTTCAAAATATCCGCCATTGTTTGAGTACACTAAAATCCTCCTCCCTCTAGGTGCCTTCTCTGTTGAGGTTGGCGATTAATATGGTATATGACTCTCTGTCCAGAGCTTGGTGAATAAGGGTGTTTCCGTCGGTGTGGGTCTAATCTCTTATGTTTGTCGTAGCCATGATTTCTTTTCCTCCCTATGCTACGTTTCCATCATAATTTTTCCTTCTATTATGAGCTGTATTTCTTCATATTCTGAGTGCCGCATTATATGCCCGATGAAGGAAGTTTTTTTGATTTTAATGGTGCCTGTTGGAATTTTTGTATTACGAGGTTTTCGTTTAAAAACTACAGTTTGTTGTTCTGGAGGTCCAACTTATCCTCAGCATCCGACAATACATCCACATTTCAAGCGCATTAAGGCGTTTGATGTTTGATGTCTTCTTGTTTTACCATGTTTCGCATCCCTATTAGTAGGAGCCATATATAACATTTTAATGTTCCTAGCCTCGTTGGTATAACTATTTTCGGATGGAATAAGAACTTTCGCATGTTGAGGAAACCATCCCTAGCTATTTCAATGCTTCTTCTGAGATTTCATTAAATTGGTCTAGCTGGCTGTTTTAATTCCCTGCCCAATATATCTGCGTGGTTTCGAGATGGACGCCGTTTTTTTTATCATAATATCGTTGTTTTCATTGTCTTGCGGATGTCTGTCGAAAATCATAGTTTTTTTCTTGACGGTGTTAATCTCTAGACTCATCCTGATACTTTCTTCTGTCAATTTGTCCATTTTTCAGCTGGTCTTCGGATTCTGCTAATACCACTGTATCGTCTGCATATCTTATATTGTTTATAATTTTTTCCATTTTATTTTAGCCCCTTCTGGACAATTCTGAGCAATAATAGTGACAATATGCATCCTTGTCTAACACCTCTGTGTATGTCTACATATCTTGTATTTCCTTTTTCAGTTTCACAGATTACAAGCTCTTTTCACAGAACGGCTAGTCGACTTTATTAAACTTCTTCCGTACCACCTCTTCATGTGCCTCTCTTGATTCATAAATTCTCTTGTAAATCTTGTTTGCTAACCATATCCCATAAATTTTAAAACGGATAGGTCAGATGACTGAGGAAACCCATGCAATTGGTCCACCTTCCTGAGTTTGTATAATTACGAAATAAATACTTTTAACATCTCTTTCATTATAAAGCGGGAAGCGTCATAATGAAAGTCATGTTGGAACCACTTATTGATGCACGAGTCTATAAATTTAACTTTTCTAACATGTCTTGAAAAACCCGTTCTCTAAAAACGTAAGAAACGTTCACTGGTCGTATCAAGAACGTATCCTCGAAAATGTATTGCCAAGAAAAGTTGAACCAATACACGCTTTTCTTCATTTTAAAAAATCATATTTACAATTTAGTTGAATCCCGATAAGGTATTTTTGTTTGCATGTGGCAGTTTGACATTTCTGAGAGCAACGGCGATTGAACTTATTACCATGGTAATTAAGTGAAATTGTTTAGAAAAAAATATAAGAATTGGCACTGCAATTTTAAAAAAAAACATATTATAGCTTATATCGCTGAAAAGCTTAAAATGACTCTTTTATTAAGTCATAGCCAACTATGTGTTTCATTTATAAAATATATGTTTGTGTCATGTCAGAAATGACAGGTTAAGGCTAAAAGTGACAAGCTATAGAAAAGAACGGAGAACAGAATCTTACTAAGGATATGATAAGTAAGGTTATATATGATATAATCTTAAGTAAGATTATATATGATATAATCTTACTTACTTATCGTCAACTTTCATCTGAAAACCGTTTGTCTAAAATAGATTATGATGGAATTAGGTAGCATTTTTAAAATAGCCGAAATTTGTTATTTTCCAAATATTAAGCTATAAACTTTTTCAAAAAATCACAAACTGCAATTCTCTCCCCATTTAACATACTCTCTATCTTCAGTAGTTTCCGAGATACCTATAGAGAACATTGTAGAAAACTCACCCTGTATACCCTCAAATGAGACTGGACTAGTCAAGGATCGAAAAATACTGGAAATCCACCCATTGCAGCAGAAAAAAGTAACTAGATGGAGAAATTGGCAAAAAATAGAAGCATCGAAAAACCTCAACAAGCAGAACTAAACTGATATTAAGTTGCAATGATTAGGAATTGCTGTAAGGTCTACATCCAGAGAATATAAGAGGAAAAAATGATTAGCTATAAGACTTTTAAACAAAATGGCATCTTTAACATAGATAATACTTTGGAAAATTGTACAGTAAACAATTAGTCTAACCTTCTACTTTTACCTAACCTTGCCAGATCTAAAATTTCTGGTATGCTGTCTATGTCCACCGCATAAGATTCGTTTGAAAGCCTGTCGAAACTCAGGATTGAATATTGTGTAAATCACTGGATTCAAAGTGGAATTGAAGTATCCAAGCCACAAAGCGAAGCTCATGATAAACTCGCTTATTGTGCAAGAGTCACCGCAGAGAGGCATTAGCAAGGCTAAGATAAAAAACGGCAACCAGCACATTACAAATGCGCCTGTAATTATGGCGAGCGTCTTCGCCGCTTTTCTTTCTCGTTTTGCTTCCAGACTTTCCTTCTTATCTCGTCTGGATTGGTGTTTGTCCCTGGAACTGGCGACCGGTGACGGTTCGTGACTGTGACTTTCTGTTTGCACGATCTCCGTCTGAAAATTGAAATGAAACGCTTTAATTGTATTTGATATAATTTGTAGATGATAACGCAGGCCTACAATGATTTTGGTGGCGCCAAAACTAAAACTGATTTTAAGTATATTAGATACCAGTGTACTTGCTTTTTCTAATGCTACGTGTAGTTTTCGAGAAATTGCAGGTATAACAAAAAAGGAAAATAAACAATTTCAAAATAATTAATGAGATTATCCAACAGGTTAAAAGCTATTTTTTATTAAAATTTTCTACGATGGTGGTCCTAAAAAGGCGGGATGACACGATCAAAGTTTCTTGGACCAAGCACATTTGGATGCTGCCATATAACTTTGCTTATAATAATGCTGTGCGCGTCTTACTTGTACGCTGCTTGTATAGTATTGACTTTTTGATCAAAGTCGAGTTGGAAGGCATTTTTACATTAAATTTGCATCAAAGCAAGTAGGCTGGTTTTCAACTTACTTGGATGTTACGAAGCCGTCAAAGTCAACTTTGATAAAATATTAGCATAGAAGTGAGACGCGCGCAACATCAACATAGGTATATTTATATGGCAGCATTTAGTTGACTTGATCCAAGGCTTTCGGACATTCCAGTCTAAGTGGCTATGCAGATAATGTACATTGATACTCATATTACATCGAAGATTTTTAAAGCTCATTAACCGTCCAGAACTAATTCATCTTAATTTTCAACCTTCTTATTTAAGAATTTTTAAAATGAACTAATAAAAAAAATAATGTGATGAAATATTTTTTTTGTAATCTTTTTCATAATTAAAGTTACACTTTTCATGCTTCTTTAACGTTTTGAAATATATGTTCCGTTTCATAACTAGTTACTCAGCATATAAAAGACCATACCATCATGTGGTATACGGATGCTTCCAAACCAAAAGTAGGACAGGGATATATTTGGGCCGAAAACTGAATATTCCTAACCAATGGGCACCTACCCCAGTATCCTTCAGGCAGAAATTTGTTAATGAAAGATGCGCACAATTTATCTTAGATAGGAACTATCGAAAACAGGAAATTGCCATCCTATCCATATAGTCAAGCAGCACTTAACGCGATCAACTCAGTAACCATCAATTCGAAGTTGGTCAAAGAATTGGAGAAACTCAACAAATTAGGCAAAGAAAATAAAGTCCTCCTACTTGCGCCTGCTCACCAAGGATAGAAGGCAATGAAAAGCAAATGATCTAGCTAGAAAGGAGCGAACACTCCACTGACAGGACCAGAACCGTTCTGTTTTCTAAACGGGAACCAACTGAAAGCGGAACTGAAGAATCTGGAAGACTCCATCCGTAACTTGGAATGGGTGTCCTCCAACGGTCTAAGACATCGAAAAGTTCCTTAGAACTTATGACCGAGAAAATCAAAGGTTTTCCTTGATTTAAGTAAAAACAATCTTCGGATTGTCACGGGGTTTCTAACAGACACTGTCTCCTCAACGAACACCTCAGTAGGCTGAAACTGAGAAACAACGGCGAATGCAGATTTTGTGGGGAAAATGGGGAAACACCAGAACACCTTATCACTGAGTGCGCCCAGACGACGACCATTCGTGCCATGAACCTTGGTACGTCTGATGTCGAGGATGGAGAACTGGCCTCTGTGGAGCCGTCTCAGATACTGGCTTTTCTTAGAGCCCTGAAACTGTATGATGAGTTATAACTCATTATAAATCAAGAAAGGGGAACACACAATAGATCTATAAGGTCGCGGTGATTAACTCCCCTCCTAAACATTCTACATTCTACATTCATAACTAGTTTATATTTTTTTATAACTAGTTAATATTTTTCTTTTCACAACTATTAATGAAATAAATGATTCGTCACTTTGTCGCTTAAAAAAACAAAAGCAATTTTTAAGTCATTTTTCATTCATTTTAGGTCATAGGTCATTCAAATTCGCTGAAGTTTTTATTTATGAATATGAATATGTTTATGGCAAATTTCTTTCGGGATAAAGAGCATTAATAAAATAATGCCGAATTTAAATTAGTTATTGTTATCAAGAAAGGGCATTACATTTGGGGGTTCACGTGCAATTTTGATAAAGAACGACCACTGTTACCAGCAAATTGTCCTTAAATGTACAAAAATGAATATTTTTTGTATTGTCATGTGTCATGTTTAAAATGCAAATTTAGTTCTCTGATTAAACAAAAGCCGATTGAAACTTTTCCAAAGTGGCCAACTTGCGGATGTAAATTCCCTTATACAAAGTAGAAATGTTGTTCGCACGGAAGTTTGCGTGTCTGGTTTGTCTTAAACCGCAAGCCAAAGAAGTAGTTCGGTTTCTTAAGATTTTAAGTAACGGTAACATAATCTTTGAATTTAGTTTTCTTGAACATCAAGAAAATCAAATTTATGATAATATCCAGAAATCCAGATGTGTTTAAAAACTCCATTATAACAGTTAATACAAAGCCCATAGAAAGGGTAGATAAATTTAAGTACTTGGGCATATAACTCTCCGAAGATTGGACATCAGACAAGGAAATTAAATATCGCATCGAACAAACTCGACAGGCATTCTTGAGGTTTCGAAAAGTACTTGTCTGTTCTGATTTTGACCTTAACCTCTGATTAAAATTCGTAAAGTGTTACGTGTGGTTGGTGCTCCTTTATGGTATGTAAGGTTGGACATTAAAAACAGCTGCCATTAATAAGATAGAGGATTTCGAGATGTGGCTATATCGGAGAATTCTGAAGATACCTTGGATGGCTAGGTTAACAAATGAAGAAGTTCTGAGACGTGTTGACAAAGAACGCGAATTGTTTGAATTGATTAAGAAGAAAAAAAACGCATACCTGGGGCACATAATGCTCCAAATATCAAATCTTGCATCTGTTAATCGAAGGTAAGATCGAAGGCCGAAGGAGTACCAGAAGAAAGAAAATGTCTTGGTTGAGGAATGTTAGACAGTGGACAGGCCTGCAAGATGTACAGTCGTTAATAAACACTGCCAGGCACAGAGAAGCGTTGGAAAATGTTATCGCAAATATCCATTAATGGATTTGCACTAGAAGAAGAAGAACATAATCTTTAATTTTTTTTTTGTTTAACTTAAATTGTTCAAGAACAAACACCTTTATGCAGATATGAGGATATGAATCAAGAAATCTGAAGATAACTAGATTTTGCGATTTTTATATGTGTCACATGTTTATGCATCGACCATATCACTGCAATATGATTCATACCAAATATATATTTTCATGTATGATAGTAAGACAAATATATATATGTTAAATTTTATAGGGTAAAAATATTGAAATATATCCTCTTTAAATGTAGACATAGAATTGAATTAACCATAATTTTCGATTGTGTCAGGAAATATTTATCCAGAACAAATATGTGGAACCCAAATTTAAAAGTTCGAGATTGAGACAAATTTCTTATAAAGTGTCTTAATACTGGTGGATGCTATAACGTAACTACACGGTGCTCACGGTGTTAATTGATTATGGGTACATGGATGTTATATATATATATATATATATATATATATATATATATATATATATATATATATATATATATATATATATATATATAAATAAAATTATCGGTAAACCTGGTTAAACATCGACTAGATGGTGTCAGTGCCATCTGTCGATATTTTTTGAAAATCATTTTTTTTCTGTCGTTACTTCTTTAGAGAATCCCAAAACTAATAGCACCTTCTCATAGCCACTTCATCACGGCTACCTGGAAGTATTTTTAGATTTTGAAATTTGCTGATAATTTGTAAGATACATAGGCCAACTTAATTTTTTTAAAAGCGGACTTACATTTTTTGTTTCAGATTTTGAAAGAATTCGGTCTCTTTAGTATAATGATATGCCACACTTTTTTGTTTCAGGCATTACTCGACGTCATTTGTAAAACTGAAATCAATACACCTCAACATTTCCAACAAAGAGTACAAAATGCATTCGGAAGTATAAAAACAAGATCTGTTTGAAAGGACTATACATAAAATTGAACAAAAAATTAATTTGAGCAATAGGGACGGTGGTAATCATTTCGAACATGTAGAATATTAGAAACTAGTTAAAGTAAAAGTTGATTTATTTATAATAATTACGATTAATATTATGCATATTATGAGATCGTATATTGAGATTTCGAATTCATAACGAAAGTTAAAAATAATATCTCTAAATTGCTGACCTGGATATTATTTATTTGAAGATTCTTCGATTGGCCATTCATTCATTAACATTCGTCAATATTGTTGCGATGAATATAATCAGGTTAAATAATTTAAAAAGCAGAGTCCGACTATTTTAAATAATAATTAAATAGTTTTGTTGTTGTTAAAATATCCAAAACAAAAAAAAAATATAAAGTGTCGCATATCGTTGTACTCACGAGACTGAATTCTTTCAAAACCTGAATAAATCAGTAGGCATATTGTGCTACTGCTTCTCGAAAGATCTGCGTCAAAGGAAGCAAAATCAAAAACACTTCTCGAAAAGTAAAGAGAAAGGGAAGAAAAAATGGAAGAGTAAAATAACAAAAAAAAACAGCCTGGCGCATCTCCACATTAGCGTAAGAGAAGAAGCGAGAACCTCTCACCTCAGCTCAGGAAGGGGGAGAAAAACCCCAGGATGAAATTCCGGCCAATACCGAGAGGCAAGGGAAATTAAAACAACTTTGGTTGCACGTCATCGATGACACCATGCGTCGTCTTATAGAGTTTGCTGGTGGTCGTATTATGATGTGCAACCAAAGTTATTTTAATTTCCCTTATATAGGGACGTAGCACCAGCTTTGTCAGAACTCCATGTAACGACATCGAATTGGCGAGTGATCAACTCAAGGGAGGAGGGCCATTGTCAGGTCCTCATAATAGGAATTTATCTCAAATTGAAGGAGGCAATAGACAAAGAGGGATATATCCTTATTATAGGTTCGGAGCAACACCGATATCAGGTCCAAGTTAACGAGGTGGGGAAAATGGAGACAGGTCCTCCAGCCTCCCCCTCACGTGTACTGTACGTGCCGGAGACAAGCTGCTCGACTGTGAAGGGCACGAAGGTTCAAACCCCACCGTAAAAGAGACAACCTAACCAACCGTCGCCGTCGGAGGAGGTAGATATCCACTCATCGGTCGAAGAACATCTATTTGTCGGAGGAGGATCAGAAATACCCTGTCCCGCTTACAACTGGGAAATCCCCATGTATGATGAGTTATAACTCAAGGAAGGGGAACAAAATAGATCTTTAATGTCGCGATGATTACCCCTCCCCCCTCTCACTCCCTCTACATTCTACATTCTAGCTGACTGGTTGGCAAAGAAAACAAGAGCTTGTAGAGAAAATATAAAACATTTTGATACAGATTATAAGGATGGAACAGTATTATTTGGAAGATTTTTTATAAACAATAGTATTTAAATTTTAGTTAAATTAAGAATATACTTTTAAATTTTGTATTATTATAGTTTTTGTTCTTTTTATGTAGGTGTTGTAAAATATGGCGGTAATTCAATTTATGCACATATATTTTTAGCTTCATGTGTAAATTGTTGAGCACGCTACGGTCCTGGTAGATATAAATCGAGCTAAAGTAAGAATTATGACCGTTGCTGGTTTGTGTTTGTACAGACAACACGATGTACAACACGAGTCGCTAGATACGAACACGGTTATACAAATCCATATAGTTTTTTTTGGAATATATTCCATGTTATGTTGTGCAGATATGCCACGGCACCGTTTGATATGAATTGATTTCGAATACTTACTTTGCTTGTATTAATAATATGACTCTGATGACTAACATGACTAGTAGATCCATTATTAGCAGCAGGTGATGACTTCTCCGGTGAGACATTATTTGACACCGTTAATCTTTGTTCTGGACCACCGTCTTCAGTCGGAGGTCTTGATATTGTAAAGGCTGTCGTTTCTTCCTATAAAGAAACACAAAAGATAATATCTTTAGAGATAATTAATATTATAATAAAATACACTTACTTCTTGATCGTTACTACTAGTTTGCTCTTCGTGTTCGTCTAGTATTTCCATTGTTGTTGTGGATTGGCCTTCCATCATAACAAGTGAACCTACCAACGCTTCTGCTGTTTGAGTTTTTCCAGCAGATTTTTTCACTCTCAGGAATCGTCGTTTGGCTAGGAATGTGTTTGTTAATCTTAAATATACAATTCTACAGTTAACTATTGGAAATGTTCTTGCTTTAAGGTATCATATGAACAGACAATACAATTACATAATGCATTAAGGGGGTGCAACTACGATTATTATTTTTATAAAGGGTTATAAGTTAGATGGATTGCTATGTTTTTTTATATAGAATCCCGAATTTCGATTATCAAGATACCACAGTGTAAGTGAACCAATGATATACAGGGTGTCCCAGACTGAGCGTGCATTAGAAGTTTCTAGAGAACCACAATATCTAGATCGAAGATTTTTTACACATCATTGTTTTACAACGAGATCTATCGATTAAAAATATTTTCAATATGGCGGCTCTTCAATACCGGAAGTTGACAGCAACTTTCCTATTTTAAATGGGTGCCCCCATTTTTTATTACATACTTAAATTCTCTGTAAAATTCTAGGAATATTGATGTTAAACAACGTTTTGGACGAAAAAAAAATACCTGTCAAAAAAATTTGTATAGCCTAAAAGTCAAATTTAATAATTACCACAGCCACTGTGACATAAAGAGAAGATATGTGGCTATCTATTTCAAAAATTAAATTGTCCAAATGTCATACAATAATGGCGGCAGCTGTCATGGAATTGAGCGATTAAAAAATTATCATAAATCATTTTTTTCACATGGAAACCCACATTTTTGATTTCAGTAGTAAAAAGGTTTTTTAATTCGTTACTTTTTAACTATACATGTTCCTATACCTAAAATAAATCATTTTTAAGTTACTTAAGATTTAATTTGAAAACGTATAATTTTCTTAATTTTATCTAGCTTCCTTTGACATTAAGTGTTAAACGGTCAGACAATTTATTTCCATCTGTCAGAAAACAAATTATTTGAATTTCCTATATTATAAATACTGCCTGCCTTAAGAGCTTAAAAAGTGAATTTATAAAAATATATCTCGGATTTTCGCTCTTTAGTGATATCTAATAATTGATATTATTAATAATATTCCGTATGATCGAAAAAAAAACAGCGCAAAGTTGGCTCGGAAATGATGCTGCTTTTTGAACAAAGCGTCACAATATGACATGGTCAGATCTATTCTTTTACATCGCTTGACGTTTAAAGTCATAGGCTACTGGTTAAAATCAAGAAAAATATGCGCTTTAACTAAATCTTAGATAATTTAAAAACAATATATTTTAGGTATAGGAACATATATAGACAAAAAATAAGGAATTGAAAAGCCTTTTCACTAGGGAAATAAATAAGTGGGTTTCCATTTGAAAAAAATGATTTATGATAATTTTTTAATCGCTCAATTCTATGACAGCTGCGGCCATTATTATATGGCATTCGAACAATTTAATTTTTGAAATAGATCGCCACATGTTTTCTCTTTATGGCACAGTGGCAGTGGTAATCACTAAATTTGACGTTTAGGCTATACACATATTTTTGGGAGGCAGTTTTTATGGTTCAAAAATTTTGAATATTCTTTTTCTCAAAAACGGTCAATGTTAGATATAGAGTGTTTAATATCAAAATTTATAAAATTTACAGAGAATCTAAGTATGTAATAAAAAATAGGGGCACCTATTTAAAATAAGGAAGTTGCTGTCAACTTCCGGTATTTCCGGAAGTGCCGCCATATTGAAAATATTTTTTATCGATACATCTCATTGTGAAACTATGATGTGCAAAAAATCTCCGAGCTAGATATTTTAGTTCTCTAAAAACTTCTAATGCACGCTCAGCCTGGGACACCCTGTATATATATATATATATATATATATTACCATAGGTTTCCAGATTTAAACACGGTGCATTTTGAAGAAATGCTTATATTATTTGCTATTTTAGTTTCAATTATTCTTTGACTTTATGAAACATATTTTAAGTAAATTTAATTCTTGGTTTGAGGTCAGATGTAAATAAATATTTTAAAGATTTAATACATTAATTATTATTTATTGATAAAAAAAATTATTTCATGAAGTTTCGACCATTAACTTGGTCTTTTTCATAATGAATCTTCTACTTGTTCCACCTGGACAGAATTAATAATGTTTACATGTAAATAAAAACGTGCTCACACAGACAACAGAATACAGGTACATCATTGAATTTAACTATTTTTAAGTAGCCCGATAGACGGCTATTCCAGTACTGCTTGAAATAGTTTACTAATGTTGTTCGTTTCTTGTTTATCATTTACCGCGTTGGTGTTTTTTTTAATTCTATGGATTCTAACAGTTCCCTTTTTTTATTAAACTCTTTAAAATAATTTTTACCCTTTCAAAATTAAAAGTATGCCTAGTTGACAATTCATGTTTTGTTAGTGCTGTGGCATTTTTTAAATATTTATGGCCTTGCATATGTTTTTCTAGATACTGGCTAATCTGCCCAATATATACACCATACACCATTGCAATTTTTACAGGGAATTTCATATACGACGTTGCTTTTTTATTGGTTGGGGTTTAGTTTTCAATTTTGAAAAATGTTGTGATGTTAGTATGTAACTTTTATGATATACTTCAATGTTATATGTTTTGTATAATTTTTGCAGCGGTTGTGATAGACCCCTAATAAAGGGTAAGGCAATGTAGCTTTTGATTTTATTGTTGGTATTATTTCTAGGGTTAATATTTTATGACGTTGAGTTGTAAAACATGCAAATCCATTTTTTGAAAATTTTATTTACCAATCTCAACGATTAATTATTTGTTTGAAGTGTTCCTTTGACTTTTTCTATTGCGTTCTCCCTGTATTCCGGATCTGACAATTGAATTGCCCAGTCTGCCATTCCTATGATTACCGATTTCCTCTGAGTAAGGAAAACTATTTGAAAAGATAAAATAAAAAAATATACAAAAAATTGGCAAACTCTCCCAAAAAAGCCAAAACTATGAAAATTGTATACAACAAATTTCTAGTGTTTTATGTTTAGGACTCAATTATGCCAATGAGATTACTAACAAAAAACAGTTACCGATTAATGATATCATTTGTAATGTTGAGACCGGCTTAAAACACTTAACAAACAAAGAAAACGACGAACTTCGGGGCAAAACTTGTAATATTCTTACTAATTTCAATCATAAAATGGAAAATAAGATAATACAGGGTTTTCAAATAGATTGAAAAAAACAAAAGTGTTTCTAAGGGATAATCCCCAATTAAAAATATTAAGAGCTGAAAAATCAAACGAAACAGTTATAATGACACCGACCGAATATAACATTAAAATGAAGCAATTATTGAATACCAAATAAAACATATAAATTAATTAAGCGTGATCCAACCAACATATGTCAGAAAGAAAACAACCAATTAGTCGAACGATGGGAACATAAAGAATATACAGGGTGTCCCAGGATGAGCGTGCATTAGAAGTTTCTAGAGAACTACAACATCCAGCTCGGAGATTTTTTGCACATCGTAGTTTCACAACGAGATCTATAGATTAAAAATGTTTTCGATATGGCGGCACTTCCGGAAATAGCGGAAGTTGACAGCAACTTTCTTATTTTAAATGGGTGCCCCCATTTTTTATTTGTACTTAAATTCTCTGTAAAATTTTATGAATTTTGATATTAAACACTCTATATCTAACATTTTTTTAAAAAAAAGTATTTAAAATTTTTGAACGAAAAAAACTGCCTGTCAAAAATAAGTGTTTAGCCTAAACGTCAAATCTAGTCATTACCACAGCCACTGTGCCATAAAGGGAAAACATGTGGCTATCTATTTCAAAAATTACATTGTTCAAATGTCATAGAAAAAATAGGCCGCAGCTGTCATAGAATTGAGCGATTAAAAATTATCATAAATCATTTTTTTTCAAATGGAAAACAACTTTTTTTATTTCACTAGTGAAAAGGATTTTCAATTCGTCACCTTTTAACTGTACATGTTCCTATACCTAAAATAAATAGTTTTTGAGTTATTTAAGATTTAGTTTTAAAGCGTATATTTTTCTTGATTTTAACCAGTAGCCTATGACTTTATACGTCAAGTGATGTAAAACAATAGATCTGGTCATGTCGCATTGTGACGCTTTGTTCAAAAAGCAGCATCATTTTCGAGCCAACCTTGCGCTGTTTTTTTTTCAAATCATACGGATTATTATTAATAATATCAATTATTGTTGATATACAGGGTTGTTCACCACATACGACACGGAGTATTGTAGCTAAACGATGAGATTTTTACAAATTGTAAGTTTTGGGTTCGATGAAGGACTATTAGAGGTACAATTTACAAATAATTTTACAAGATACAGAGTGTCCCAAATAAGTAAAAAATATCAAAGTTGTATTTTTTTAAATGGAACACCCTGTATATTATTACATTTTTAGTTTCTACGATTAAAATAAAGGTAAATTTGATTAAGATTTATTATACTTAAACCTTACCGTTTTTGAAATATTTTCAATTTTGTGAAATTGCAGTAAAAATTTTAAGGCTTCATTTCTCCAAGGGTATCAAAGTTTTAATACTAAATATTTACTGAAGTTTATCTACTGATCAGTTATTGTGTTGCAATAATAAAAAATAATACTACCTTATACAGAGTGTCTAAAAATTTATTTTAAATAATTATTAGCTTCAAACGGCAATAACTTGTTTAATTTAAATGGAACACCCTGTATATTTTACGAGAATCAGATGCACAATTTAATTGTCTATCAAATTATATTATACCATTTTTTACCTATCTCTTTAAGTTTCCGTAGAAAATTTATTTTCTTGTAATTTAGAACTTATTTATCAATATATCCATGGACTATTGACATTTTAGATTATTTTTAAAGATGTATCAAATTTTTAAAGAGTACAGATACTAATATTGTCGATATAATTCGTTTATTTCATTAAAAAATAAAAAAAAACTGTTCAAATATTTGTTAAAGAGGACCAATTAATATGATCCAGTATTCAAACTACATTAACTGACTGTTTGCATTGATTAATAATAATTGCTCCAAATACTAAAAAACTGAATTTTGTATGGGCATTAGACAGTGTG